CCTTGCACGAATTTTGTGAATTGGGCCTCTAGTCACTGAATAATATTCCATTGTATGGCTATACCAAAGTTTGATTACCCATTCATCTATTGAAGGACATCTTGGTTACTTTCAATTAATGACTGAAGCTGCTTTAAACATTTGTGTGTAGGTTTTTGTTTTAAACTCATTTGAGTGAATATCTAGGAGCATGATTTCTGGGTTGTATGGTAAAACTATATTTAATTTTGTATGAAACAGACAAAATAGCTTCAGAAGTGACTACCATTTTGCATTCCCACAAGCAATGAATGGGTGTTCCTGTTGCTCCATATCCTTAGCATTTGGTGTTGTCAGTGTTTAGATTTTCACTATTTTTTTTAAATATTTATTTTATTGATTTTTTAAAAAATATATTTTATTGATTTTTTACAGAGAGGGAGAGAGAGAGTTAGAAACATCGATGGGAGAGAAACATCGATCAGCCGCCTCCTGCACATCTCCCACTGGGGATGTGCCCGCAACCCAGGTACATGCCCTTGACCGGAATCGAACCTAGGACCCCTCAGTCCGCAGGCCGACGCTCTATCCACTGAGCCAAACCGGTTTCGGCTATTTTATTGATTTTTTACAGAGAGAAAGGAAGAGGGATAGAGTCAGAAACATTGATGAGAGAGAAACATCAATCAGCTGCCTCCTGCACACCTCCTACTGGGGATGTGCCCGAAACCAAGACACATGCCCTTGACCGGAATTGAGCCTGGGACCTTTCAGTCTGCAGGCCAACGCTCTATCCACTGAGCCAAACTGGTTAGGGCAGATTTTCACTATTCTAATAAGATTTAGTTACTTTAGTGAAATTCTGATCTCATTGTTGTTTTAATTTGCAATTCCCTAATAACATGTAATGTTGAACATCTTTCCATGTGCTTATTTGGATATCACATATCTTTTTTGGTGAAGTGTCTATTCAGGTCTCTCATTCATTTTTAATTGGGTTGTTGAGTTTCCAAAAGTTCTTTGTATAGTCTGGATAACAAATCTTTATTAAATGTGTGTTTTTCAGATATTTGCTCTCAATCTGTGGCTTGTCTTTTCATTCCCTTCTATAATCAATATTTTTAGCATGAAGTGGCTCATATTTTTTTGTTTGTTAAATCTCTGCTGTATTTTGTGATGTCCCCCTTTTTAAAGTGGCTTTTTTACTGTTTTTATTGATTTTGAGAGCGAGAGGAAGGAAGAGGAATAGAGAGATAGAAACATCGATGAGAAAGGAACATCATTGATTGCCTTCCTCCTGCATGCACCCCTATTGGGGATCGAGCCGGAAACCTGGGCATGTGCCCTAACCAGAAATCAAACCAGTGAGCTCTTGGTTCCTGTGTGTCAACACTCAATCGCTGAGCTACACGAGCCGGGCTGTCCCACCCTTTAAAACAAAAGTGTTTTTTTTGTTTGTTTTTTGGTGTGTGTTTTTTTTTATTGATTTGAGAGAGAGAAGGAGGAAGGGAGAGGGAGAGAAAGAAAACTCAATGAGAGAGATGGCAGCCTCCTCCTGCAAGCCCCTGCTGGAGACCAAACCAGAAACCTGGGCATGTTCCCTGACTGGGAATCGAACCAGTGACCTCTCCATGCATGGGATGATCCCCAACTGAGTCACATGAGCCAGGACATTATTTAGTCCTAATATTATTTATTTGCTCTTATTATCTTTTATCTGGCTCCATCCCACAGGGCTTTATTTTATCTTTGCAAAGATCTAACCTTAGTTTTTTTGGCTACTTATATCTATTTCTATTTTAATTTATTCCCTGATCTTTATATTCTTTCTTCTACAGAATTTTGGATTTTTGCTTTTTTTTCTAATGTATTAAGCCAATCACTTATATAATTAATTTTGAGTCTTATTTTCTAGTGTAAAATCATAGATTATTTACCTATACCTATAAATCTCACATATATAGTATTTTTATTACCTCTCAAATCTAATATTATAAATTTCCATTGAGATTTCTTCTTTGATCTTTCAGTTGTTTTTTTAAATCTCCAAATATATGGAGTTCTAAAAATAGTAACTTTATTATTGATTTCTTACTTAATTGTAATATGGTTAGAGAATGAGATCTGTATGATAGCATTTCCCCCCCAATTTTTAGGAAGTTGCACAATGGCCTAAATAAAAATTAATTTTCTTAAATCTTCCTGGTATGTTTGAAAAACAGCTGTGATCTCAAAATGCTGGGTGGAGATCTATATGTGTTCCTTCGAAAATGTTAATAGCCCTAGCTGGTTTGGCTCAGTGGATAGAGTGTTGGCCTGTGGACTGAAGGGTCCCGGGTTTGATTCTGGTCAAGAGCATGTACCTTGGTTGCAACTTGATTCCCAGTAAGGGGCGTGATGTTTCTCTCTCATCGAAGTTTTTAACTCTCTATTCTTCTCCCTTCCTCTCTGTAAAATCAATAAAATGTATTAAAATAAATAATTTTTAAAAAAGAAAATGTTAATAGTATTGAAGGCATTCTTGCAATGACTGATAATTCTTGGGTATCTTCATATTTAAGGGTGCTATACACTGAATATTTTATGTCCTCTCAAAATTCATATGTTGTAAACTAACTCCAATATAATGGTATCATAAGGCAGGGGCTTTAGGAGGTGATTAAGTCATGAGGGTGGAGCCCTTATGAATGGGATTAGCACCTTACAAAAGAGGCCCAACAGAGTTCCCAACTCTTTTGGCCAAGTGAGGACACAATGAAAAAGACAGATGTCTATAAACCAGGAGGCAGCTACTTACCAGGCAATAAACCTGTTGGCTCCTTGATCATGGACTTCCTAGCCTCCAGAACTGTAAGAAATAAACTTCTGTTTATAAGCCAACTTCTGTTGTTTATAAGCCACTTAGTCAATGGTATTTTGTTATAAAAGCCTAAATGGACTAAGACAAAGAGTGAAGTATTAAAAAGCTGATTGGAAATTCTTTATGCACAGATGAGTCTTGTTGACTGGGTTTTCAATGTAGGATGATTGCTTATGGACACAGACAGTCCATTATGGGATCCCTCACACGTCAATATTCTGCCATTCTAATCTATCTCTACAATTATATTGGCATTTGTTTGCTGCTATTATCTTCTCTCCTGATCTTTTTTTCCATCGGTTTTATAAACTTGACACTCCTTTAATTTCATTAAACACTTGTTTTAATATTTAAAAAAAAATCCTCACACAAGGATATGTTTTTACTGATTTACAACAGGGGTTTGGAATGTCTGGCCTGCAGGCTGTATAAGGCCCATGAAATCATTTGGTCTGGCCCTGCCAAGGCAATAAGGGTGAGTTAATTAAATGTTTGACCAAATACATACAGCAGGCTAATTTTTAAATAGATATTTTTGTATGGCACACAAATCTATATGTATAAAAGCCTAATGTGCAAATTGTCCCTGTGGGAGTTTGACCGGAAGACCGATCACTTCCTATGATATGTGCTGACCACCAGGGGGCAGCATGGAATGAAGGAAGGCCCTGGCCGGCAGCTGGATGGCCCTGATCAGCCCTGATCACCAGCCAGGCCTAGGTACTCTACCCATGCATGAATTTCATGCACCGGGCCTCTAGTGATGTTATAAATATCCAAATGGCCCTTGGCAGAAAGAAGGTTCCCCACACCTGATTTAGAGAGAGAGAGAAAGAGAGAAGGAGAGGGAGAGGGAGAGAAACAGAATCATCAACATGAGTGAGAAACATCAGGGATCGGGGCTGCAATCTAGGTATGTGCCCTGAATGGGGATAGAACCTACAACTTTTTGGTGTATGGGACAACGCTCCAACTGAGTCACCCGGCCAGGGCATTAACATTTTAAAAAGTATATATATTTTATTGATTTTTTACAGAGAGAAAGGGAGAGGGATAGAGAGTTAGAAACATAGATGAGAGAGAAACATCAATCAGCTGCCTCCTGAACAACTCCCTATTGGGGATGTGCCCGCAACCAAGGTACATGGCCTTGACCGGAATCGAACCTGGGACCCTTGAGTCCGCAGGCCGACGCTCTATCCACTGAGCCAAACCGGTTAGGGCAACATTTTTTTATTGAAGTATATATGCATTCAGAAAAGTGACCACAAATATGCCTCCTGAAATACATGTAAACCAGCATTCAGACTAAGTAATAGAACACTGCCAGCACTTCATGAACCTCCCATGTTCTCCTCCAGTCATTGCTCCACCAAGACTAATGACCACTTTGACTTCTAACAGCAGGGCTATTTGGGTGTTTCCAGTTTAGGATTAGTACAAAGTATGAGTGTGACCTTTTTTATACATGTTCTTTTACTGAACATATGGACACTTTTCTGTTGAGTACATACCTAGGAGTGAAACTGTGGGGACAAGGGCTTACATTTATTCAGCTTTAGCTGACACTGCCAAACATTTCAACAAAGGGATTGTGCCAATTTATGTTCCCTTCAGCAGCATATTACAGTTCCAGTTGCCCCACAAGCTTGCCAATACTTGATCTATACTGTCATTTTTGTTGTTTTGTTTTTTTCATTTTAGGCTTTCTGGTGGGTATGTAATGGTGTCTCATTGTGGTTTTAATTATTTGCATTTACTCTTTAAAACGAGGGAGTTAATCCCCTACATCTGCCAGAAATTTCCCCTTTATGGTTAGTATCTAATGGAACTTAGAGCCTTCTTCCTGTGCTGGAGGGGACGGACTGCAGCGGCCGAGGGCAACAAGCTTTGCACCCAGACGCACTGAGGTTTGATGCCCAGCTCCAATGTTCACTTGTTGCCTTGAGAAATTTACTTAAACCTTCTTAATTTTATGCAAAATATCACTAAAAATAGTACTGCTTTACTAGGTTATTATGAAGATTATGTGAGATAAAATATGCAAAGTTCCTAGCACACTGTGATTACATACGCAACCAATGGCAGCTATTAGTATACTTTATATTGTTTATGCACACCTCATTTCTCCTGATTTACACATTCTCTGACACGGCACACACCAGCTGCAGCACATACTTTATTGCTGATAAAGACTGGCTGAGTGAACTATTTTCAATATAAACGGAAGGTATTGTGGTTGTTACAAAAGAAGGCATAAATTATTATAATGGCTATAGTACAAAATACACTGCTAGTGAGCAATACATTATTTAAACAAGTGTCCCTCCTATTTACCTTCATTATTTAACAGTTAAGTAAATTAATACAGCAGAAAAACACTCCTGGAGCTAATTAGTAATGATAATTAGATGTTTCCCTATGGCATTTGTGAGGGTTCCAGAAAAAAAACTTCACCCTGGAAACAAAAAGAAAACACCATGTTTCTCAAGAGACGTTATAAGCTTTTCGAATTGTAACCGACCCTTTGTTCCCCAGTGAAGAAACTGGCCAGGCAACCGCTGCCCCAGCAGCTTCCGTACAAGATGGCGCCGCCCACTTGATCACCCCGGCGGGGATGACGTCCCCCGAGCCCGTCGCAGGACCGGAAGTGGTTTCGGCCCTAGTGGATCCGGGTGGGTGCGCGCAGGTGGCTGCGGAGGTTCCAGCTCCTCAGCGTGAGGTGCCGCAGGTGTGCGGGTGGGATCCGGGCCACAGGTAAGCGGGGGTCCGCGGCCCGCGAGGCCCTTCACCCGGCCTGTGCGAGGGGCGGAGGGGGTTTCCAGCGCGGATGGAGGAGAGGGGTCGTGGAGCTGATGATGTCACCGTGTGTGGGGGCGACTCATCGCGGGGACCCTGCCGTCCCGGAGCGACTTGGCCCTGCCCCTCTCCCCGCCCCACGGCGCGGCTTCCTCGCACCAAGCGCACGGGCCTCCCACGCCCTCGCAGGGAAACCCCTCGCACCCCTTCAATCTTCAGAAGCACCCACCACACCTTCATGGCTCTTGACCAGTGAAAAGGAAGCGCCATCTGCAGCCCCTGGCAACTCCTCGGGCGCTGCGTGTTCCGCGCGTCCAGTCGCAGTTCCCTCGCGCGATTCGTGGGGACCTGCCCCCGCCCCCCGCGGTCACCACCCCTTTCCGCCCAGGCCACGCCCGCCGCTTCGGGCCTGGCTGGGGAGCCACCTGTTTGTTTTTTTCTCATCCCTGGGATAGATCGTTAATGAGCATTTGTTACAAAATCGATACCCGGTCTTTAAGACGTAAACAAACCCAAACCTTTATAAGCTTTTGACGTACCATGGGACACAGACGAACTCTCTTACTAAACACCTTATTAACTATATCGCCTGTTTTAGTTGTAAGGACGGAAGGAACGGCACCGAAAGGTTTTCTTCATTATCAGAATTGCGGGAGAAAGGAGGTTTAATATGGAGGAGGAAGGATTAATTTTGGTCAAGTTGACCTTGTTTTAATAGTGTCCTTTTGTGAAAAATTTATTTTAGAGAAAGAGAGAGAGGAACACAGATTTGTTGGTCCACTTATTTATGCGTTCACTGGTTGACTCTTGTATGTTCCCTGACCAGGGATGGAAAAGGCAGTCTGGGCGAGCGATGCTGTAACCACTGAACCACCCAGCCAGGGCACTAATGCACTTACTCTTCTATATTTATTTTAGTTGTAGTGCGTGCATACAGTCTTGTAAAACACTGATGAAATTTTAAAAACAGGATAGATGCTCTTTGACCTGTGTCTTTCCATTTCCATTTTTTTCTTCTTTAGTCGCTTGCCCAAAAGGAAGAACTGTTTGGGGTGTGCTTTTCTATTTCTTTTTCTTTATATATATGGACAGGTGTTTGCACATATAAAATAATATATTTGTGTTAAACTTTCACAAATGTATATTTTACAAATATGATGTATTGTACCTACTCAGCAACTTGACTTTTTGTGCTTAAAAATTGGTCTTAGAACTTTTTCTTTGTCATTATGTAGAGATCTACCTTATTCTTTCAACTTTGTAAATTCCCTAGTATGTGAAGATTCCGTAGTATGTGAGATTCCGTACATTGCTTACAGTTTTTCACTGTTAAGACAGTGTTGCATAGAAAATCCTCCATGTGTTTGTGTGCCCATATGACCATGTCTCAAGTAGTTACTAGTGAGATTATATTGTTGTTTTTAATATTTTTAAATTGATGTTTAGAGAGAGAGGAAAGGAGAAAGAGAGACATTGATGTCAGATCGAAACATGATTTGGCTGCTTCTTGCACATCCCTTACCAGGGATTGAGCCACACCCTGGGCTTGTGCCTGACTGGGAACTGAACCACCAAAGTTTTGGAACAACACCTAACCGAGCCACACTGGCCAGGGCGTGAAATTACGTTTTCATGATTGTTGGTTAGGTGTATTTTCTCGTTGAGAAATGTCTCATTTCTATTGGGTTGTCTTTTTATATGCATACTAGGGGCCTGGTGCACAAAGATTCGTGCACTGGGGGGAGTGGGGGGGGGTAGAGGGGGGGTCCCTCAGCCCGACCTGCACCCTCTCCAATCTGGGAGCCCTCAGGGGAGCCCTCTCCAATCCGGGAGTTTCTGTCTGACTTTGCAATCATATGAGCGAATTGTCCGAGACCCCCAACCCAGTTTGGTTTGTTGCTCACAGAATAATAGAGGCTTTTTTTTTTCTTTGCTCAATTGGTGGAGATTTCCTGGAAGTTTTAGGATATCTTCCCTTTAATTTTTCCTAGACACTCTGGTTTTACTTATGTCTCTCACCTTTGCTTTCCCTACATCCCCCACCGCAACAGTAACTTGCTCCGGGCTCACTTTGCTCTAGTGCAGCGGTTCTCAACCTGTGGGTCGCGACCCTTTTGGGGGTCGAACGACCCTTTCACAGGGGTTGTCTAAGACCATCGGAAAACACATATATAATTACATATTGTTTTCCTGATTAATCACTATGCTTTAATTATGTTCAATTTGTAACAATGAAAATATATCCTGCATATCAGATATTTACATTAGGATTCATAACAGTAGCAACATTACAGTTATGAAGTAGCAACAAAAATAATTTTATGGCCGAAGCCGGTTTAGCTCAGTGGATAGAGCATCGGCCTGCGGACTGAAGGGTCCCAGGTTCGATTCCGGTCAAGGGCATGTGCGTGGGTTGCGGGCATATCCCCAGTGGGAGATGTGCCGGAGGCAGCTGATCGATGTTTCTCTCTCATCGATGTTTCTGGCTCTCTATCTCTCTCCCTTCCTCTCTGTAAAGAATCAATAAAATATATTTTTTAAAAAAATAATTTTATGGTTGGGGGTCACCACAACATGAGGAACTGTATTAAAGGGTCGTGGCATTAGGAAGGTTGAGAATCACTGCTCTAGTGTCTAGGACAGTGGTTCTCAACCTTCTGGCCCTTTAAATACAGTTCCTCATGTTGTGACCCAACCATAACATTATTTTCGTTGCTACTTCGTAACTGTAATGTTGCTACTGTTATGAGTCGTAATGTAAATATCTGATATGCAGGATGGTCTTAGGCGACCCCTATGAAAGGGTCGTTTGACCGCCAAAGGGATCGCGACCCACAGGTTGAGAACCGCTGGTCTAGGAGATCCGTCTGCCACCAGAACTACGATTCCCAGCATTCCTGGTGCTCCCTGCGCTCTGGGCTTCCGCTTCCGGTCCTGGAGCTGCCACCAAAACTACTATTTCCAGAATTCCTGGTGTTCCCCACGCTCTGGGTTTTCCCTGACTGAGGGAGCCCCATCCCCCCCAAGTTGCCAGCTCTCCCACTCTGTTCTGTGTATGCAAATTACCCGCCATATTTGTTGGGTTAATTTGCATACTGACTCCTCATTGGCTGGTTGGCGTGGCTTGGGCATAGTGGAGGGATAGCTAATTTGTATGTTTCTCTTTTATTAGATAGGATAGTAGTGTTTTTATATATTCTGGATAATAATCTTTTTGTCATTTATATATGTTTTAAATATTCATCTCCAATGTAGTGCTTCTTAAAGTTGCTTGTCTTGCCCAGTCCATGTGGCTCAATTGATTGAGGTCATCCCATGCACCAGGACATTGCTGGTTCGATTCCTGGTCAGGGCACATGCTGGGATTCTGGGCTCAATCCCCAATAGTGGGTGTGCAAGAGGCAGCCAGTCCATCCGCAGGCCGACACTCTATCCACTGAACCAAACCAGCTAGGGCTAAATAAAAACATATTTAAAAAAGAAACTTATTTTAAAAAAGAAAAGTTGTTGCTTGTCTTTAGCCATGTGGCATCTTTGTTGAACCAAAGCTTTAAATTTTATGTTTAAATATATCAATCTTTTTCATGTGTATTTTGTATTTTCTGGCTATCATTCCCAATCGGATAGGGAATGGTAGCCGTGGTCGGCAAACTGCGGCTCGCGAGCCACATGCACCTCTTTGGCCCCTTGAGTGTGGCTCTTCCTAAGCCTTAGGAGTACTCTAGTTAAGTTAATAACAATGTACCTACCGATATAGTTTAAGTTTAAAAAATTTGGCTCTCAAAAGAAATTTCAATCGTTGTACTGTTGATATTTGGCTCTGTTGACTAATGAGTTTGCCAACCACTGGTATAGCCTATTACATACCTATGCTATATGGTAGAGCCTATTACTCATAGATTACAAACCTGTACAGTATGTTACTGTACAAAACAACACTAGATTAAATCAAGCACAAGACGAAATGATGGCCATTGAGAGACACAGTAAACACGAGATGTATAAGGCTGCTACTGGCATAACGACACACTGTTTTATAGCAAACTTTTTTTAATAAGTAGAAAGAGTACAGTCTAAAATAGCAATAAAACGTATTATGTAGTAAATACAAAATCCAGTAGCATAGTCCTTTGTTATCAAGTATTATGTACTGTACGTGATTGTATGTGCTGTACTTTTTTATAACTGGCAGTGTAGCAGGTTTGTTTACACCTGTGTCACCACAACATGTGAGCCATGCATTGTGCTATATTATGACAGCAACAGTGTCACTAGACCAGTGGTCGGCAAACTGCGGCTCCTGAGCCATATGCGGCTCTTTGGCCCCTTGAGTGTGGCTCTTCCACAAAATACTGACTTCTGTGCATGGGCCACGAAGTTTCAATCGCACTGTATGTGCGCGCCCGCACGTGGTATTTTGTGGAAGAGCCACACTCAAGGGGCCAAAGAGCCGCATGTGGCTCGTGAACCAGTTTGCTGACCACTGCACTAGACAATAGGAATTTTAAATTATAATTTTACTAGAGGCTCAGTACACGAAATTCGTGCGGGGATGGGGGGGGAAGGTCCCTCAGCCCGGCCTGTACCCTCTCCAATCTGGGACCACTGGCTCCTAACTGCTTGCCTGCCTGCCTGCCTCATCGCCCCTAACTGCCTCTGCTTGCCGACCCGATCACCCCCTAACTGCCCCCCTGCTGGCCTGGTTGCCCCCTAACTGCCCCCCCTGCCGGCCTGATAGCCCCCTAACTGTTCCCCTGCCAGCCTGATCGCCCCTAACTGCCTCTACCTCGGCCCCCGCCACCTTGGCTTTGTCTGGAAGGATGTCCATTCTAATTAGCATATTACGCTTTTATTAGTATAGGTGGGACCACCGTTGTATGTACAGTTCATCATTGACCAAAATGTTGTTATGCAGTAGGTGACTATTTAACAGGGTGTCTGTGTCCATTTTCTTTCACTTGGCTTGCTTTACTTATGTATATTCTCCTGTCTTGACCCTGTGGACATTTCAATTTGCAACCTCCTCCTGAGCATCTTGGAACTCTCTCAAGGTTCTGTCCTATTCCTTTTGGAGGCCCCTCGTTCCTTTGTACTGCCCTAGCTTACCCTCAATATCCGAGTCTGTTTCTATGGAGAACTACTGAGATTTCTGGTGCAAGAAGATCCATGTTTTCTCAAGCCATTTGCTTCATTCTCCCACTACCTACACCTTGCAGAAAAGTAAAAAAATCTCCCCACCAACTTGCTAATGATTAGATTTTTATTGAAGCAGAAATTTCCACTCAATTCTTGTTAGAGATTGAAGGTTTAAAGTGCAAACACCTTGAAGAAGGTCCATTAGCAAAAATTTATTCACTAACATATCAGTAAGTGAAAGCTAGAGTATAGCTTAATTCTGTTTTATTTTTTCTTATTTTTTAAAATATATTTTTATTGATTTCAGAGAGGAAGAGAGAGATAGAAACATCAATGATGGGAAAGAATCATTGATCAGAAGCCTCCTGCATGACCCATACTGGAGATTGAGCCTGCAACCCAGGCTTGTGCCCTGACCAGGAATCAACCACTGAGCCATGCTGGCTGGGCTAGCTTATTCTGTTTTAATTTATATGATTTATATGATTAAGAGAGCCCTGGGAAACTGGTAGAGGGCAGGAGGGTTTTCTTAGGAGAGAATGGAGACAGAGATGAAGTAGTGAATGTAAAAAAGTGAAAAAATTAAAATACAACTGTTTCATGTCAAAATTTGTAACAATTTTTTAGTTTGTGGGCACATGGATTGTAAGTGGTACAACCCCCAAGTTTTAGTGGAAATGTCTTTCCATATAGGCTTAAATTCTGTGTGTAAAATTATTGTTACCATTTGTTTTGCAGATTGTGGGATTAGTTATATGCTTTCCTAAACAGCAGCAAAGTTGAAGATGTCTAGACACTTGGTGGCTTTGACAGTGACCACTCTTCTTGGTGCGGCAGTGGGGGCATTTGTCCTGTGGAAAGGCATCCAGCGCCGGAGGAGTAGGAGCAGCCGTGGAGCCTGGTGGCAGCAGCAGCAGCAGCAGCAGCAGCAGCAGCACCAGCTGCAGCAACACCAGCACCAGCAGCAGCAGCAGCAGCAGCAAGCTCCAAGCAGGAGCGAGCTGCCCCCGCCAGAAGGGGACCAGTTGCCTTCCAGTGCCCCCAGAGCCTCATGGGAGGAGAGGATCCTGGAAGCAAAGGTGGTCACTGTGTCTCAGGAGGCAGAGTGGGATCAAGTTGAACCCTTGCTTAGGAGTGGGTTAGAAGATATTCCAGTACTTGGAATCGACTGTGAGTGGGTAAGTTAAAAAGCAAAAATAAGACAAATCATGTCTGCTTTTCCAACTAGAGGTCTTGAGTCATCAGGTAAAGGATAAGATTAAAGATTAGCTTGTTCTCAACTTGCTGGTAAGTAGACTTTAACAGAAGTTGCTTCTCAGGATAAGGGAATGCTCATAATCATAGATTCTGAAGTCAAGCAGATCCATATGAGTTCCATGTTCACCACTTACCGTTCTGTGAACTTGGACATGCTACTTAAATAAGTTCAAGCCCCAGTGTACTTTTTTGTAATTGGAATTTAATGGTATCTACCTCACAGGGAATTTCTAAGGGTTCAGATAGCCTCTATAAAGCCTTTAGCACAATTTTAACATATAATAAGTGATCATTAAATACTAGCTACTATTAATATTTTTAATAGCATTTTATAAGGATGCCATGGAGAAGTTCATTAAGGAAGTCTATTAAATGGGAATTATTATACAAGTCAGAATTTTAAAAGGTAATTTGAAATATTGTTTACTCTAAGCCAGGTAATATGCCTTTTTGTTTGATCATTTCATTTAGTTTAATTTTATTCTCTTAATAATTCTATGTAGGGAAATGCTATAACTATCCTCACTTTTACAGATAGGAAATCAGGGCATAAAAAGGATTAGTTACTAACCAAAGGCCACAAAACTGGTAACTAGCATTGGAGGCCAAGGGCCTTCTTCACCATCTGGTTACTTTTTCTAATGGCTGTTAACTTTGGGGGAGTTGTTGCATGGTTGTGATGATGATAATATGGCACACTTATGCTTCTGTCATTCTGATTCACAGAGTGAACTTTAATCTTGAAACAGAAGATATTACAAAAATATAAATTACTCAGAAGTATCATCTTACTAATTTAGTGTTATACCTTACTAAGAATCTCTGTTATTTGTTTTCTGGATATCTAGAATATAGCCAGGAACCAGAAAATGTAATCAAAAGAAGCTTTAAGCAGAATATTTGCCACAAAATCAGATCAAGGTTGATAGGAGTGCCTACTAGATGTCAATACAATGATGACCAAAAAGAGAACACCTGACAGTGTGGGGATATTTTAGTAGTCACACAGGTCCTACACCTTAGCTACTGAGGGTATTTCTTTTATCATCAATAGTAGTAATTTATACAAATGACCTTGGGCCATCAAAAAGAATTGGAGGCCCTGGCTGGATAGCTTGGTTGGTAAGAGCATTATCCCGATACACCAAGGTTGTGAGCTCGATTCCCTGGTCAGGGCACATACGAGAATCAACCAATGAATGCATAAATAAGTGGAACAACAAATTGATGTTTTTCTCTCTCTAAAAACATCAAAAAATAAAAGAAAGACAGAATTAGGCACTTTTATCTACACTAATAAAAGAGAAAAATGCAAATTAACCATCACTCTGCCACTCTGCTACACCCACCAGCCAATCAGGAGCTAGTATGCAAATTAACCTAACTAAGATGGCGACAGCCACAGAGCTGGAGTGAGCAGGAGGCTTGGGTTGCCCCTGGCGATGGAGGAAGCCAAGCTTCCCACCTGCCCTGGCTGGCCCTGGTCTCCGATAAAGGCTACAAAGTTTCAATTATAGAAGATAGATAAACCCCAGATACCTGCTTCCAGCCCGCCCTGTCCTCCGCTCAAGGAGGCGCTGAAAAAAGAAAAAAAAAAGCAGAGGCTGGGAGCTTGGGTTGCCAGGGGTCGTGGCCAGCCTGAAAACAGCCATCAGTCCCTGACCCAGGCTGGCCAGGCACACCAGCGGGGACCCCCACCCTGAAGGGGGTGTGGCCAGCCTAAATACGGCCCTCAGCCCCTCACCCAGGCTGTCCAGGCACCCCAGCGGGACCCCCGCCCTGATCCGGGACACCCTTCAGAGGCCCCCACCCGTGCACCAGGCCTCTATCCTATATAATAAAAGGATAATATGCAAATTGACTCTAACAGCAGAATGACTGGGAATGACTGGTCACTATGACACACACTGACCACCAGGGGGTGGATGCTCAATGCAGGAGCTGCCCCCTGGTGGTCAGTGTGCTCCCACAGGGGGAGCTCTGCTCAGCCACAAGCCAGGCTGATGGCTGCCAGCACAGCGGTGGTGGCGGGAGCCTCTCCCACCTCCTCAGCAGTGCTAAGGATGTCCAACTGCAACTTAGGCCTGCCCCCTGCTAGCAAGTGGACATCTCCCGAGGGCTCCGGGGCTGTCAGAGGGATATCTGACTGCCAGCTGGCAGGTAGACATCCCCCGAGGGGTCCCAGACTGTGAGAGGGCAAAGGCTGGGCTGAGGGACCGCCCAAGTGCACAAATTTTTGTGCACCGGGCCTCTAGTTTTATATAAGAAATGATATCCTTTTAGAAATATTTACACCAACAGTAGAAGAAAACATTAGTAAACAGTGAGCTTTAGTAGATTAGGAAAATTAACATTTGTCAAATACCTTGATTATTCTAACTAAATGAAGTATAAACATGACAACAACCGGGTATTCTGAAGTGAATAGTTACTAACAGCCATTGACTTAATAATAATAGGGTTTGCCCTAACTGGTTTGGCTCAGTGGAGAGAGCGTCGGCCTGCGGACTGAAGGGTCCCAGGTTCGATTCCAGTCAAGGGCATGTACCTTGGTTTTGGGCACATCCCCAGTCGGAGGTGTGCAGGAGGCAGCTGCACGATGTTTTCTCTCTCGTCGAGGTTTCTGGCTCTCTATCCCTCTCCCTTCCTCTCTGTAAAAAAACCAATAAAATATATTTTAATAATTATAATAATAATAGGGTTTAATTATAGCAGAGGCATGGAAAAGTTAAAGTGGCAAATAATACAAAACCCACTTCATTTTGGCTCTTGATATGTATTAATTTCATGCTTGATGCCACGTCTCCCTTGAGGAGTGATTGCATTTCTCCGATTGCTGCCACTGAAAAACTTTATTAAAAAGTCATCCATCCTTGTTCAACCTTTCTTCCATTTCTGTTGCCCTTTCTCTTTCATTTACTTTGGTGCGTTTGTTTAGTTACTGTTTTTGCTCTTGTTTTACAGTCAAAGAATTTACCTTTTTTTAGTTTTAGTTTGTCTTTTTAAAAAAATTATTGATTTTGAGAGAGAGAGAGAGAGAGAGAGAGGGAGAGAGAGAGAGAGAGAAACATTGATTTGTTGTTCCACTTTTAGGCACTCACTGGTTGATTCTTGTATGTGACCTTACCGGGAATCACACCCACAACCTTGGTGTATCACGACAATGTTTTAAGTCAGCCAGGGCCTAGTTTGTCTTTATACCTCAGACCTTTTTTTTTAGGGTCGTTTTCTTTAAGGTCATACTTTAGAAGTTCATTTTTTGAGGTCTCATTGATAATAAACATTGTTTTGAAAATGTCTTTATTTTGCTCTTGATCTTGAAGATATTTTCACTGGATCTAAAAGTTTAGTTTGGCAGTTTATCATCATTTTTAACATGGTTTTTCATTATATTCTGGCTTCTATTGTTGCTATTGAAAATCACTGCTAGTCTACATGTTGATTCTTTATAGGTAATCTAATTTTTTGTAGCTCCTTTTAAGGTCTTCTCTTTGAGTTTGTGGTTCTAAAAATTCATTGTGATGAGACTAGGTGTTTTCTTTCTGAATTTCCAGCTTGGGATTCAGAGTGATACAAGGATTGATATATTTTAGCAATTTTAAAATTCTCTTTAAAGATTGTCTTTACTCTGTTTTCTTCTCCATTTTCTTCTCCCCTTCCTTCTCTTCCCCTTCCTTCTCTTCTTCCTCTCCCCCTCCCTTCCTTTTTCTTGCTGGAATTTGATCAGCTACATTCTCAACCTTTTTAAAAAATAGGTTTTATTGATTTCTAGAGAGAGAGGAAGGGATAGGGATAGAAAAATAGGAACATTCATGAGATTAGAAACACCATTGATAGGCTGCCTTCTGCACACCCCTTACTGGGGATCGAGCCCACAACCTAGACATGTGCCTTGACTGGGAATTGAACCTGTGACCTCTTAGTTCAAGGGCTGATGCTCAACCACTGAACCACTCCGGCCAGGCTACATTTTCAACTTTTTATGCTAACCTACATGTCTGGTAATCACTTTTACATTTAATATATCTTAATCTCTCTGGATTTATTCTATACAATTTCTTTGAGTCTTTTTCACAGTTCCCCCTTTTTATTTCTTTAGCTTTGTTTAATCTGCTGTTTAACTTGCTCCCCGAATCTTTTTTCTTTAAACCTTTTTTATTGTGAAAAAAAGTATCAAGAAAAGTACCTGAAACAAAAATAAACAGCGAAATGATTTATCTAAAGAGAGTAGTTGTGTATCTAGAAACTAGGTCAAGAAACAAAATTGCTAGTACCCCAGAATCTCCCCTTGTACCTCTTATAATCATTATTCCCTCCCTCCCCTCTAAGGTTACCCTGATTTATAGTACTTACTTTCTTGTTTTTCTTTTATACTTTTACTACTCAAGCATGTACTGTAATTTAATTTTGCCTTTTTAAATTTAACATAATTGAAATAATCAAATATATATTCTTTTGTGTCTGGTATCTTTTGTTCAACTTTTAGTTTGTGAGATTTACCTATGTTGTGTGTGACTGTGACTCATTGCCGTATATACAATAGTCCATTATACAAATATATCATTGTTTATTCATCCATCCTAACATTAATGAACATTCGGGTTGTTTACCGTTTGGGACGCTTACAAAGAATGCTGAATTCTGTACTATTGGGCATGTTTATCTGTGAGTGGAGTCCTGGGTCATAGAGTTTGTATATATACAATTTTTATAGATAATACCAAATTGTTTATAAGTTAGTTTGAACTAATTCACCCTCAGTAGTGTATGAGTGTGCTCATTGTTTGCAACTGTTTTTGATGTTTTTTGTTTTTTAGAGAGAAACATTGATTTGTTGTTCCGCTTATTTATGCATTCATTGGTTGATTCTTTCATTCTCTCCAGGGAGATGAAACCCTCAACCTTGGTGTATCGGGATAAT